GTTGTGACAAGCCATACAGCCTGCAGAAGTGAAAATAGTTACTATTTGGCAGTTTATCAAAAAAGCTTTCTGACCATTTATCTATAGCAGTGGTTCTCACCTCACATGACAAAATGGAATCACTTGTAAAATCAAAAAAAAGTAGAGTTTGCTGACCCCACACCAACACACCAAATTAGGATTTAGGGTCAGAACTGAAGCTACATAGTTTTGAAAAGCTTCCAGCTAAGCTGATAATCACCAGTCTCTAGGTAACACATAGGACCTAGTCTAATTTTAATAATTTCCATTCATTGAGCAAGCAATTTCAGGTAGGACTCAGAAAAATCATTCTATTAAGCTCTTCTGGAATTAAGTCTACAAGGACCTTGTTCCAGAAATACCAGAACTGACTCGAGCAACACCTACTTTGATTGCTTTTGATTGTTATCTTAAATCTAAGGCAAAACCTTAGGCTGCATTTTCAGATGCTGACCTGGGCCTGGCTTGGAACAGGGCTTTAAAGAGAAGTAAGTTCAGAAACTGTTGGTTTTCTTTTATTACTTTACCGTAATTGCTCGGGACATCTTCCTCTGTTTCTTGTGCATTTTCTTGAGATTTATTTTAATGAACACTTGACACTTGTAACAAAAGAGTGTTGATTTAGGGGAGGCGGGTGGGAATAAGTTAAGGAGACTGTATGTATAGGGAAAATGGATGGCAGAGAGGTTGGAGAAGATTCCATTGGACTACCACCCTTAACCACCTAAAGATCAGAAAATCCAAGTGACTCAGTTCTTTCTAGCACTCCCTATTTTGCTCAAGTGCCCCTGATGTCACTCCTTTCCCCTGTATAAATGATTTGCACTGTAGAGTTCTCAAGTTCCAGTTATACTTTAACCAGATTTTTAGATAATCGAAACCCTATTCTCACATTCCGTAAATTCCCAATCATTATCCTTTCTCATCCCCAACCTGAATCGATCGATAGCTAGTTGTATTTTGTCTCTGGATATACTTCTAATATTGCCACCTGTCAAAAGGCAGATTCTGTGGCATTAGAAAAAAGATTCCTACTATGTCTTCCTTTTAACTTTTGTAGGATTTTATATTTTCTAAGCAGTAATTAATAAGCTACTTTATATTCTGGTTAAATTGTTAATTTTCATTAAAGTCAGGACACACATTCTTTCATCTTTATATTTTTTCCTCTTTTTTTCCTTCCTTCTAACTCCCTCTTCCATAACATGGTGTTTATCTGTCTATAAATAAGCAGTGGGTACATAGGCGATCTATTAGTCTGCTTCATTGGTTGAAACAAGTAAATTGTAGCTAAGATCTTTTCTAGCCTTAAAATGACAAACAGTGTTTTAGGTTGACAATTATACATTCCAGAGCAATTTTTAACCATGTGATAACTTTCTTTTCTTTTTTTAAAGATTTATTTATTTATGCAAAAAAGAGCTGGGGTACAGACCAGAGATGTGGGGTGTGTGTGTGTGAGAGGATTCACCAGAGACAGAGTGGGTAACAGAACAGGCAGATCGGCTGAAATACACTGCTGAGGGGAGCAACTGGCGAGACAGGAGAGGTCTGCTATGCCATGTGGGTTGCTCCCTGGCTGGCTGGGAATTGAACTCGTGCTACAGAGGTGGTGGGGTGCTCCATAGTGTGGTTTTTAACCCCTTGCACCACAAGGGAGGCCCAACCATGTGGTAACTTTCAAAAAACTCACTTAGTATAAACTAAATAGCCTGGTTTCTTCTCAAAAACAAAACAAAACAAAACAAAACAAAAAAAACAAAGGAAAAACTGCACTATAGAAGCATATCAAAAAATACATTGAAAAAATTCACAAGGCATTACTCTAACTGATTTGTATGTGATGTAAAAAATAGCATTAAATTGTTAAGGATTGGGGCTTCCCTGGTAGCACAAGGGGTTAAGACACAACCCATGAAGCTGTCCGCAGCCACTGCAGCACGAGTTCGATCCCTGGCCAGGGAGCAACCCATATGGCACAGCAGACCTCTCCTGACTCTCCCACTGCTCCCCTCAGCAGTGTACTTCCATCAATCTGTGTGGAGGAATCTCAAAACACTAAAAGTAGATCTACCTTATGATCCAGTGATTCCATTACCAGGAATCAACCCAAAGGGCACAAAAACACTAATTCAAATGGAACCCTGCAAACCTATGTTTATTGCAGCACTATTTACGATAGCTAAGTTATGGGATGATCTAAATGCCCCCAAACAGATGAATGGGTCAAGAAGATGTGATATATATATACACACATATATACACACACACACAATGGAATACTACTCAATGATCATTTGCTGCAACATGGATGAAGCTAGAAAGGTTATATGCTAAGCAAAATAAGTCAGAAGGAAAAAGAAAACTATTAGTTTCATTTATAGGAGGAAGATAGGAAAACTGAACAAAGGGTCAGGAAAAAGAGCAAACTTGCAAGCTGAGGCAAACAGCAAGGGAAAGAGAGGGGTAAAAAAAGGGGAGGGAAGAGCACAAGGGACTATAGTAATGGATCAAGTGTGCTATGAAAACGCAATCACTAGGTCTTTTAGTTATAAAGTCTTTTAAAAAAGAAGCTGAAATCTGAGCAGGAGAACTATACCTGAAGGTAGAACAAATATGTAAGAAAAAATTTTAAAATAACAATTTCTTTAAAAGAGTTTAGAAGTTTAAATATACATAATTAAAATTTCAACATAATATCTTGTTTAATTTTACCCAAGTTGACTCTCAAACCCTGAAAAAGTTACTGGTACATAATTAATAGCAATGGCATAAAAATTTTAATCAGCAAAATCAGGGGAAAAAGAGGTTAATTCACCAGCTAAAATTCTTACAGAATTGTGAATTGGGGGGAAAAATACAGAATCTGTATTTTTTTTCCTTGCTGAATAACCATATTATTTTTCTTCTAAGTAGACTCAGTCTGAAAGGACAAAATATTCTATCTTACATTCTTTGCCTAACTGGGGAAGTCAAAGCATATAAATGACTTTTCATGGATTAGTTTGTATTGTAAACACTTAAGAGTTTTCTTCAAAGCTGCTCTTCTTTCTCTACCAAATGTTTCTGTTAATTATAACATTAAAATAAAAATCTGAGAAGCTCCTCCACTTTAAATATTTTTAATTTAAATATTGAGGAAAGAAAATAAATTTAACATTAAAAAAATCATATTATATAAAGTAGCCTTGAAGGGGCTTTACCAACTGAAGTATAACTATTAATAGTTCAAAGGACTTAGATTATCTAGGTTGCTTGTAATGGAAGTTGGGTTACTTGCTTCACCTAAACAGGGAAGTTGGCATGTTTGCCTAGCAACAGCCGCTAAAACCTTCTGTTGTGGAAGGTTCCCTAGGAGTGAGAAGGGAGGAGGAGGAAAGCAGGAGGAACAGATTAATCTGTTTTTCCTAGCAGGGGACTGAGGGAAAGGCTATCCAAGAGATAGTCTTTAGATTAGTACTTGCTAACCTAATTCCTCTGGGGTAGCAAGAAATTTACTCATTGTGTAGTATTTACTGGCCTGTAGGGGTTACAGATTTAGCCTATTCCAAAGGGTGTAAATTTAAACAAAAGAAAGACATTAATAGCTCTTTTAAAAAAGAAGCTGAAATCTGAGCAGCAGGAGATGCTCATAACTAAAAAGAACTCTTCCCTGCTCAGAGTTTAAGGTATGTGATATGTTTTACAGGTAATATAACACTATCTGTTAAAGTGGATGAATTTACCATGTTTACATTTACCAAGTTAAACACAGAAGCTTCTTTAAATATAATCCTTTTCTTGGTATAGGTAACAGTATGCAGTGAAGAAAGGCCAGGAAAGCATAAGCTACGCTGTTTTAATCAAGACTGAAGAAACAGAATATTGCAGAAGTGTATTCACTGGATGTTTATTTGAGGGCCATCTCTCTCCTCTATTCTAGAACATTTATTTTGAAATCAGGATTATGTATATGATTATATGACATGAAAAGAACCATTCCCTCCTTAGAAGCAAGGGTTTGGCTAAACTGAATTGTCTTGAAGGGGCCTCCCAAACTGGCATCTTTTCCCTAAGGGAGAAGAAACTTTCAATAGTCACAATGTTAGTTTTATCTCCAGGAGTTCTTGCATGGGTCATATTCTTCCCTCTCTTACCCCTCCTGCGCAGATAGCTCTCAGTGTTCACAGAGGCCTAGACAGAGGGTTTCAAGCAGTGAGGGTCCAGGCCTTTGGCCTCAGAGCAAGGGGTGGGGAGGGTATGAGTGTGTGTGGGGGGTGGGGAGAACGGGGTGGGGGGGCGGGGGGGGGAGTCTGAATTACTTTGGGACAGGGGTGACTAGGGCGAAGCTGGTGTGACCCAGCACCTGGACAAAGCAGAAGAACAAATTGAGGGGAAGGGGAGGCAGTAAGGGGGAGGGGGGTGCAATAAAAACAAAAGTAGAGAAATAATTGTTAAGGAAACCAAGGGGGTAGAGGTAGTGCAGGATTCCATGGAAACGCCTGAAATTTTCTCACTCACCCCCACCATCTGGCCACCTGCCCGAGGGGTGCAGAGGCGCTGTGGGGGTTGGGCCACGCGGATGGCTGGACCAGTTCTCCGGCTCAGGGCGTGGGTGAGCCCCGGGTCGAGGCCGAGAGCGTCGCCAGCCTCCCTCGGGCGTTGGTGGCGGGTGACTCAGAGCTCCCCTCTCCTCCCCTCCCGTCCCCGCCCCGCCCCGCCCCGCCCCGGAAGGAGGGGCCTCGCCCCCGTCTCCGCCCCAGTCTCCGGGGCGGGCCCAGCCTGAGGAAGAGGAAGGGGACGAGGACAACGAGCGACCGGGCGCGGCGGCCGCGGCGGAGGAGGAGGAAGAGGAGGCCGACCAACAAGATGGCCCCTGCTGCAGGAGCAGCCTCAGCAGCAGCAGGTGGGAGGCCGGAGGCGGCGCTGGCGGTGGTGGCGGCGGCCGTGGCCCGGCGGCCTGGGACAGAGTCAGCATCGACGGTGGCAGCAGCAGCAGCGGCGGCGGCGGCTGCCGCGCCGGTGGCGACGGCCGCGGGGACCCGGAGCTGAGAGGAGCTGCTGCTCGGACCAGCGCGGTGAGCGACCGGCGGCCGCGGCGTGCGGGGTCGGGCGGCGGCGGCCGGGCCTCTGTGGGAACAATAGGCCGCCGCGGCGGGGAAGGGGCTGTCTCCGCCCGCCCTGCGCTCCTCGGCGGCGGCGGCCGCCCCCCCACACCCCCACGGCCTCCCCGGCCCGGGCACCGCGGCGGCCCCGAGGCGCGTCAGCGGCCGGCGTCCTGTAGGCCTCAGGCTTCCGCGTGCGCCCGGAGGGCCGGGCCCGGAGGGGAGGCCGTGGGGCCGGGCGGACCCGCCCTGGACCTGACGAGGGCGGGCGGCGGAGGTGGTTTTGACCCCCTCCGGGTGGGGGCCCCCTAAGGCCCCCCAGGTCCGCCCAACTCGCGTGTTTCTGCGGGGCGCTCGGCCGGGAGGAGAGTGCGCACGGGAAACCCTTTTTTGGACCCCCCCTAGCCGGTGGGGGTGGGGAAGGTGACGGCGTTTGTAAACAGGCACCGCCTCTGCCTCCCGCAACCCCGGGGCTGCTCCCTGCCCTGACCCCCCCCCCCCCCCGGAGCGCTCGCCTCCTTGGCTCTTGGGGTTGAAGTTGTCTCTTTCTCCGGATCTCCTGGAGATGGTCTCCTTTCTTCTCGCTGGCCACAGGGAAATTGTGTATGTAGGTGTCTTTACAATTTTTTTTTTAAGTGCAAGAACAGCCAAAAAATACATACATGATGAAATATGATCAGTGAGGGATGGAGTGCTAAGGGATGTTCCTCTTGAAACATCTCTCGGGCGTCTGTTCTCGCCAAACATCAGGGATGCCCACATCCAGAGTGAGTGTGAAACAAGGGCTGTTTGGAAGCAGTCATGTAACTCTTGATATCCCAGAATAGTCCCTGATACTGGAAACAAAGCCACTTACTGACAACTCGAAGACAGATTGTAATGTTTGAATAGAACTTCTCTCCCAACGAGCCGTTTTGAATTATTAATAGGCCTCATAAGAAACATTAACTGACATAAAATGGACCACATGAAGTATTTTTGCAGACAGAAAATGAAGATAAAGTGGTTCATCTCCAGGCCAAAACTTACTGTATCGGATCTCATGTTGTAATTGAGCCTTTCCGTAATTTGCCCTATAATTATTCAACACCAGTCTTTTCCACCGAGTTAGAAATTTGATTTCTAAGGCATATTTTGTGAGATTGCTTTACTTCTTGGTAATTTTCGCACATTAGAAGCAACTGTAGTTTTGCTTTGAATGTTTAGGCTTATTAGGAGACCCTCTCTGTTGTATTTGCCCTATGCTAGTAGTGTGTCAGTTTCACAGTAGACTGTATATGTTCTAAAAGAATTTTTTCAAGGCATTTGCCACATCCTTTTCCCAGTGAGGGGGGAATGATTCAAGTTACTTTTGTTCCAGTTTTTACTTAGGTGTGTAGAAATTTATATTAAAATTGTTTGGATGCAGCCAAAATGATTGCTTTGCACTATTTGCATGGTCCATCTAGTATGTGTTTTTAAAAGGCACATTGGCTTGTGTAGAGAAAATACCAGTTAATGTCTTTCACCCATTTTTAGGATGCACTTTTAATGAGAATTGTTCATATCAATGGTAATTCTAAGCATTTTCAGATTTCATGAAGTTTAATGAACAGTGCTAGTTTTTAGTTCTATTGTTGACAGTAAGTAGACTGGCCATTGAATAAATGTGGAGGTTCAGTTTTGTTGATTAGAATTGAAGTATAGTGGATGAATATAAATAACGACTTTCATTTTATGCCTTACACAAATAATGTGGATGTTTTGAGTTTTTTAGTGGTGGGGAAGGAACAGCTTTCACACAGTTCCTGCTAAGGTGAATTTTCTTTAAAGTATTCACATCTGTGATTTTTTTCTTAAAGGTTTATTTATTTATGTATACAACAACTGGGGTACCCGCCAGAGGTGTGGGAGGTGAGAGGATTCACCAGAGACAGGGTGGGGAGCAGAACAGGCAGATCTGCTGAGATACACTGCTGAGGAGAGCAGTGGTGGAGACAGGAGGGGTCTGCTGTTCCATGTGGGTATCTCCCTGGCTGGGGATGGAACTCATGCTGCGATGGCCGAGAATAGCTTCATAGGTTGCATCTTAACCCCTTTCGCCTGCAGGGAGGACCAAATCTGTGATTTTTTTAATGTGGAGTTTGGTTAGAGCTGTACAAAATCTAAGTCTATATTGTAACAATGGTAAATTTATCTGTGGCCCAAAATCTGTTAGAACATTTGTATTAACATAGGAGTTTATAAATTATAAGTGGTTAGTGTGCTTTGTTATAGAAAAAGTCTTATGTGTTGTGGACTCATTTTCCTCATATTTAATATCATTTTCCTGAAAACAAACATTTTTTTAATATTTTATATAATTCTTACATCATTTTTCAACTTTGCACAAAGTATGCATTTTTATTATGGTTATATTCCCCATACAATTGCACCCCCCCCATTTTGACTCCAGTCCTTCCTGTCCCCCCACCCCCTCTGGTTTATAGTTGCTTGTTGATTTTCATTTTTACTTTGTATTGATTAGTCTTTTTCCTGGTCTGTTATTTAAGTTTTCTAAATTCCTGCTATGAGTGAGACCATCCGGTATTTTTCTTTTTCTTTCTGACTTATTTCGCTGAGCATGATCCCTTCTAGCTCCATCCATGTTGCTGCAAACTGCATGTGGAAAACAAACATTTTTAATGGTTAAAGATTTGTGTTTGAAAAAAAGAAACGAAAATCTATGTTTGAGATTGGGTGTTGACCCAATAATTTATAGGTTCAGTCTGGCTCCCTTTTTTCTGTATAGTGTTGAAAAATCTTTTATGCTATTTTTACTTGTGTCACAACTATTTTAAGATGTGATTACTCAATTGTCATATTCAGTATCCATGTTTATTATGACTATTTCAGCTCAGATTTTCTTACATCTTACTTAATATTTCTTAAGTAATATTAGTACTTCTTAGGCAATATTTCCTTCTAAGAGGTTTTAGGAACATAAGTTAATAATTAGATTTGCATTTTCTTAGTAATATTAAAAGTTAATGTTTGATTCACTTAAAGATTTTTGAAAGAATTTTTTTGTACATAAAAATTTAAAAATTACAGTTTTCAGCACACATTTGTTGAACGCATTAAAAACATCTCATTTAATGCTCCTGGTGCTGTTGTCATGTGGTGGTATTGTAATTTTATATATGAAGAATCTGAGACTAGGAGAAGCTAAGAAACTAGCAAAAAGGCCACATAATTAGTAGGTAAAAGAGCTTACTCACACCCAGGTCTTATGACACAAATGAGATGCTTTATATTACTGTTGCCCTATGTGTCAAGTTAAGCTTTGAAGCATCTCCTGTGTTGACAGATGCCTTGTCTGGACTCTGAACTGTGTTTTGTAATACTGTACTTGCCTTTAGCCCTAATATCCTTTCTATTATCTTTATTAGTGTACTACCAAATATTAGCTTATAAGATCAAGACGGTAAACTTGTTTATGTGAATTATAAAAGAAAGTATTTTTTGCTTTTTGCAGATCACAATGTGATAAATATAGAAACACATGCCCTTTACTTAGAACAGAGTTATGGTATTGCTGGAATTGCTACATGACTTTTATTTGTTATATAAGCAGTCACTAAAATGTGCCTTTGAAATTTTGAAAATTTAAGAATGACTTTAGTAACAACATTCAGTGACAAAGTTGGGTTGGCTAACTATTGAAATTTCTTCGTTTATATTTTTAAACCTATAGAATTCTTTTTTTTTCTTTTTTTTTTTTTGGCCTGGATTTTCTTAATTTTTTAAAATATTTTTTTACATCATTGTTCATTTTAAAACAATATTTGCTTCCCCCCATCCCCTCAGGTGTAGTCCCCATAGAGTTTCCTCACCAGTGCACCTGTGCACCATCACCTCAGCCCCCTGTGCTCCTTCCTCCCTCCCTCTGAGCCCTCTCCCGCCTCCTCCCTTGCAGTATGTCTCTGATTTATAATTGTCCATTTTGGCTTTGTTGTGTTGTGTTTTGTACTGTTATTATTTTTTTACACTGATGCCTTATTTGGTTCCCCAATATTCCTGCTATAAGTGAAACATCGGATATTTTTCTTTTTCCTTCTGGCTTATTTTGCTGAGCATAATTCCTTCTAGTTCCATCCATGTTGCTGTGAATGGCATGAGTTTATCTTTTTTGATTGCTGAGTAATATCCCATTGTGTATATATGCCATGTCTTCTTGATCCAGTCCTCTATTTTTGGGCATTTGGGTTGTTTCCAGGTTTTGCCTATTGTAAATAGTGCTGCAATAAACATAGGTGTACAGGTGTTCTTTTGAATCAATGTTTTTGTGTCCTTTGGGTAGATCCCTAGGAGTGGGATTGCCGGGTCGTATGGTAGCTCCATTTTTAGTAGACTGAGGAACCTCCACACAGCTTTCCAGAGTGGTTGGACCAGTTTGCACTCCCACCAGCAATGTAGGAGAGTTCCTTTTTCACCATATCCTCGCCAACATCTGTTGTGGCTTTTTTTTTTTTTTTTGATATGTGCCATCCTTATTTAAACCTGTAGAATTCTTTAGCCTTTTTAAATCTTCAGATTTTAGGGCTTGAAGTAGAAGGGGTCTAATAAGTCTACTTTTATATGTTTTGAAAGTGGTTGGCATCCAACAAAGTGAAGAATAAACTAATAAATGATCCTTTTTTGTTGGACACCTCAGAGCAAGATGTTCCTTGGCGCAGGATATATTGACCTGGTTTAACTCTGGCATGTCAGTGATTTAGGTATTCTTCGAGGTTAGATTCAAATGATTTTAAATTCTCAGATTGGCTAGCATTAAAATAGTCATGTAAGGATTCTCTTTAAGGTATCTTCCTTTGTTTAATCTTGGAGTCTAGGCTGGATTTGGAGGTTATGACATGAGATTAATTTTATCAGGCATTTATACAAAGGGATTTTTCTTACTCCAAAGTTTCTTAAGGCAGTTTCTCTACATTCTCAAGTGTGAAGTTTACTAA